CCCATCGGTGCTGCAGGGCGGGATGGGGAACGGGGCTGGAGGCTGCCCCTGATCACCACAGCCTCTGAGCGGTGGGAGGGGACATGGAGGGGACCGGGGTGACAGGGGGACACCACGGCTGCATTTTGGGCAGAGGGACCACAGTGACACATGGGGGGAACGTGCTGGGGGCCATGGCCATGGCAGGGGGATCACGGCTGTGCTGGGGAGATCGGGGCCACTGTGGTCACACATGGGGGACACGGTGGCCACACGTGAGAGAGGACACGGTGGCCACACCTGGGGGACACGGTGGCCACACGCAGCGGCTGTGTAGCTACACAGTGCACAGTACACACAGTGTAGGAGCATCCTGGCCATGGCTCGGGACCTCATCGGGACTTGGGGGGCGATGCCACGGCCGTGATGGCAAAACATGACAGCCAGGCATGGGGGTGGCACGTGGCTGCACCTCGAGGGTGTCACGGCCATGGGAGGTGGCCAGGGACACGCCAGGGGGGGTCACGGCCACACGCGGTGGGGACACAGGAGCCGCACAAGCGGTCCGTGGTTGTGTGTGGAGCGCTTACAGCCGCAGACCGTGGGGGAAGGTGACACCCAAAGAGAGCTGTGGCCACTCACAGGGTGACAGTGGCCACGTGTGGGGCTCCTGAGGATACACCTGGGGGGCTCTGGCCATGCACGGGGGGGGCACAACCAGAGCGGACAGTGGCAGGGTGACCCCTTGGCTGGTGGTCCCGGGCTGTGACCCACCTCCACGACGGGGTACCAGCAGTATCGCTGGTACCAGAAGTCCCGGGCGAAGCGGTGGGTGAGGTGGATCTCGGGGGGGAAGGGGTGGAACGTCTCCCGGCCCCAGGTGTCCCGTGAATCCCCCACGGCCACCCCCAGCCGCTCCAGACACTGCCCCAGCGCCACGTCCTCCTCGGGGCCGGTGTGGCCGCAGGTGCCGCGGGTGAAAGCGGTGGCCACTCGGGCCAGCGCCCCCCGGCTGAGCACGTAGCCGGCGCCCCCGCTCATGTAGCCCTGGCGGGTGAAGGGTCGGAAACGCTTCCCGAAGTAGAGGGGCCGCTGGGGCGGGTGCGCGGCCAGCAGCCAGCGCAGGTTGTCCAGCACCACGAAGGTGTCGTCGTCCGCCTTGAGGAACCAGTCGGCGCTGGCGCGGTGCTGCCGGTGCACGTACTGCAGAGCCCGGATGGTTTTCCGGTAGAGCTGCCCCCGGCCCTCGGCCACCCCCAGCCCCACGGCCGGGAAATGCGGGGCGGGCTCGGAGCTCACGAACACGGCCACGTTACAGCGCCGCGCCCAAGTGTCCCGCACGTACCGGGCTCTGCTCTCCAGGTTCTGCGGTGCCGTCAGCACCCAGCACAGCACCCGGACCCGCTGGAACAGCCCCCGCGC